CGTCACAATGGTAGCTCCACTACTAACAAGATCTCTAACCAAAACATAAACAAAACACATGGCTACTCTCTTGTTTTTTCTTCATCGTATCAACCGGTGCAAAGACGATCGTAGGAAAAGAAGAAAATATATATAGTACTTCCAAGCCAGTTATGATTCCACAAGGCTATTCCAATCTTCATAAATATAACATTTGAATATCTTATAAGTAGTCTCTGCCTTGAACTTTATCCCTTCCAAAAATTAGCGCCCTCTTTAACTCTGAAATGAAACTCCAAAATCCAACTAGTCCATCCCCTTTTCGGTCCATATTGTTCCTCCATGTCATGCTTCTCCACTCTCTGAGCTTATTGCAACCAAATTACAGTACCAATGCAAGTGCATTAGGAAATCACACTGATAGGTTCGCTCTGCTCAAATTCAAAGAATCAATTTTCAACGATCCACACGGAATCCTCAACACGTGGAATGACTCCATTCACTTCTGTAACTGGCCTGGAATTGCATGCAGCCGCCGCCATCAGAGGACAACAACCCTAAACCTAAGTGACTATGACTTGAGAGGAACCATATCACCTTATGTTGGTAACCTCTCCTTCATGAGGGCCCTTGACCTCACAAATAACTACTTCTTCAGAGGAATCCCAGAGCAAGTTGGTCGTTTGTTCCGCCTGCAATATTTATATTTGTACAACAACATGTTGGAAGGTAAACTCCCAGTTAACTTAAGCTATTGCTCAAAACTTAGGGCGATAAGTATTGGCAAAAATAGACTTATTGGGTTAATTCCTCATGAGCTTGGATCTTTGATGAAGCTCCGTTTCCTTAATCTTCAGTTCAACAATCTCACAGGAGGCATCCCTCCTTCCTTGGGAAACATTTCATCACTTGAAATTTTTTCAGTAGCCTATAACAATCTCTTTGGAAGTGTTCCGAATGAGTTGGGGAAATTGAAAAGCTTAATTACTTTTGTAATAGGGCCTAACTCTTTTTCTGGTACAATACCCCTCTCCATTTTCAATATATCCTCCTTGGTAGTCTTTTCAATCCCATATAACCAATTTAAAGGCACTATTCCTTCCACAATTGGCCTCACACTCCCTAATCTCCAAAATTTTGAAGCGGCTGTTAATGGATTCTCTGGGGTGATCCCTCAATCATTTTCCAATGCCTCACATCTTCAGGTGCTTGATATATTTGGAAATAAATTAGCCGGCCATGTTCCAGAAAGTTTAGGGGGTCTTCAAGAGCTTCAGTGGCTTAATTTGGGTAATAATAGTCTAGGAAGTTATTTACCAAATAGCTTGAATTTTATTGCATCTTTAACAAATTGCAGCCAATTGAATATCTTAAACTTAGCTGAAAACAACTTCAGAGGGGTTTTACCAAACTCTATATCCAATTTCTCAGCAAAACTCTCTAGACTTTATCTTGGAGGCAATCAAATATCCGGTAGTATTCCTTCAGCCTTAGAAAATCTGGCCAATTTAATCATCTTGGGCCTTGAAGTTAACCTTTTCACGGGTGTCATTCCTACATCTTTAGGAAGGCTAAAAGATTTGCAAGTTTTGGCTTTGCATACCAATATACTAACAGGAAAAATCCCCCCATCCATAGGAAACCTCACCCAATTGTTTGAACTAGATTTATCTCATAACAAAGTGGAAGGAAGTATTCCTAATAAAATTGCAGCTTGTCACAGTCTCCAAAATCTTGACATTTCAAACAATATATTGGTTGGAGAAATACCCAAAGAAATTTTTCTTCTTTCCTCCTTATCTATCTCGCTCAACTTATCACAAAACTCATTGACTGGATACCTACCTGTAGAAGTCAGCAAGCTAAAGAATATCAAGACAATTGACCTTTCTGAAAACAATCTGACCGGTAAAATTCCAGAAACCATCGGTGACTGTCAGGTTTTAGAGTCGCTTTACCTGCAAGGGAATTGCTTTCAAGAAACCTTGCCATCTACTTTGGGTTCTTTAAAAGGTGTTCAGTACATGGATTTTTCACGTAACAGCTTGACGGGACAAATTCCAAAGGATTTACAGAATCTTCAATCCTTGTTGTACTTGAATCTTTCTTTTAACAATCTGGAGGGAGAAGTGCCCAACGAAGGTGTATTTGAGAACATAAGTGTTGTGTCATTAGTTGGAAATACTAAGCTTTGTGGAGGTGTATCAGAGTTGCATCTTCAAGCATGCCCCAGAAAGAAGTCTGAAAAGAGGGAAAGCAATCGCCTCAAACTAACAATCATAATAGTTTTGGTGGTAGCACTTTTCCTTCTGTTCACAAGTTGCATTATTTTGCATTTAAGGAGATCATCTCAAAGGAAAACAAATGTTGAGGTCCCAAAACTAAATGATCTTCCGAAAATTTCATACAAGAAGCTTTTTCAAGCTACCAATGGATTCTCTCCAAGCATGTTGATTGGAATTGGTAGCTTCGGCTCTGTATATAGAGGCATTCTTGATCCGGAAGAAAATCCAATTGCTGTGAAGGTTCTCAATCTCCAGCAAAAAGGAGCAGGGAAGAGTTTCGTTGCCGAATGTAATGCATTGCGAAGTGTTAGGCATCGAAATCTTGTTAAGATCTTGACTTGTTGCTCTAGCATAGATTACAACGGCAATGAATTCAAGGCTCTAGTCTTTGAGTATATGTCCAATGGAAGCCTAGAGAAGTGGCTGCATCTTGTGACTGATGATGAAAACCGCTCAACGGGTTTGAACCTACTTCAGAGACTAAATATTGCAATCGATGTGGCTTTGGCAATTCAGTACCTTCATGATGATTGTGACCAGCCAATCATTCACTGTGACTTGAAGCCTAGCAATGTTCTTCTTGACAATGAAATGGTTGCACATGCAACTGATTTCGGATTAGCAAGGTTGATCTCAAACACAACCAGCTTCTCGAATGCTCAAACTAGCACAACTGGAATGAAGGGAACAATTGGCTATGTCGCTCGAGGTAACAACTTTGAATAAGTACTTGATTTATTTAAGCTTTTTCAAGATATGTCTATTATTGGCATTTTTTTAAATAATAAAAAAAATATCATTCCGAAACGTGTGCAAAAGAAAAGGATTCAATCAACTGTCAATATTTTTTAATTTAACAGAAAGGTAATGAGTAACGATCCCTTGAACATGATCAGCTAAGCAATGACATGACTTTTTGTGAGAGACTAGGCTTGAGATATACCCAAACAGAACCAGGTGTTAGTTGCATAAACACTTACATATATTTGTAACTATTTTACTCTAGTGGAGGATTGAATTCTCTATAAATGAAATTTTACCTCTTAATCAGTACTTTATACTTCATACATGTATTGCTATTACAAATTGTAGAGTATGCAATGGGTGGAGGGCCATCAAGAGAGGGTGATGTATATAGTTATGGCATCCTTGTATTGGAGATGTTCACTGGAAAGAGACCCACCGATGAAATGTTCAAAGATGATTTCAATCTTCACAACTTCGTTAGGACAGCCTTGCCAGAAAGACTTGTGGAAATAGTGGACTCTTCTCTTCTCCCTAGGGAAGCAGAACAAAATGCATTGATGATAAGAGAATTAGATGCAAGAAAAAACATCAACAATATGGGAGACGTTGAGATTGAGATTGAAGAAGGATTTGGAAATCATATCAGTGCTTATCTGCGTAATTGCTTGGTTTCAGTGTTGGAGATTGGAATTTCATGTTCAAAAGAATCCCCAAACGAAAGAATGAACATGGGAGATGTTATCCGGGAGCTACAACATATCAGAAATGCTTATATTAGCTTTGAGAACAGAGGACAAAGATGAGGAACCAAATAAAATATCAGGTATTGTTGCATAATTTCGGTGGTTTTGCTTATAATTTTTCTGCCCAAATTAGTAAACACACAAATTGACTTGTAACTGGACTGCTGGTGCTGGAAACTATGTTCAATGAAATCAAAAGGTCATGATCAAGATTTTCTCTTGTGGTAATCTTTCGAGAATAAATAGGCTTTGGCGTCTGTACTCGCACAAACTGCCACGCTGAAATTTTAGTTTCCTCTCTATTCTTTAATCCAAAGGATGTTAATTTAGTCTATTAATAAAGGACTCGATCAATGTTGCATGTGTGTTCCTATTCGTGTGTTCACATTTAATGATGATTATGCTCTGTTTATATGGGTTGTTAACCAGGGAATAAAAAGAAAAAGTTAGCTAAGTTCACATTTAGTTCTTATCGAAGCGTCTGAAGACATCAATTAGCGGAACTTGTTCGATCAGCAGCAAAATTTGTGACATTTAAAGGTCAATTATTGTATGATTTGATTGCATTACATAGCTAATTTATTTAATTCTCTAATTTGTTTTCCCAATAAACTTTACCTGCATAACGTTAAAAAGAAGATTACGGCCATTAAGAATAAAACTTTCCAAAGAGCACTGAAGATATTTCGTATTATATGGTACTGGCTAGTTTGTTAAAGTTTTAAGTTGAAATCTTAATTTTAGTTGAGATTATGGTGGATAAGTGTGAGAGCGATCAGATTAGCAACGGTTTTTGTTCATCATTAGTCTTGATCTGGTTGCCCAAGTTATTCATGAAGACTTCTCTACACATGGTGATGCATGGATTGAAGACATGGCAGACACTTATTTATAGGCAGTTAGCGAGCTACAGAATAGCATGCGTTTGGAAGAAGGATTCATGTCATGGTTCGAATCATGGTTCGTGACTCGCTACAGTATTTTCTCTCACAAAAAATACACGTAAAACGAGAATGATTATGAATCATAGTTCTGAATCCATTAACCAAACGTCCCAATAGTGATGAGCAAGGCACGTGCTCTAACTCAACTTTTAAAATATTTGTTTTCATCTCTAAAAAAGTTTAGTTGTACCCAATTTTATAAGAAAGATCATAATTGTACCCCCACTCAATGAATCTGGATTTTCATTGCTCTTACTTCGATTTCTGGCAGGTTTTAGGCAAAAATTATAAAACTTTGTTGTAATTTAATGAAAATCTAATAATACTCTAGAACTATAAAGTAATTATTAGATTGTGAAATCCTTTTACCATCTAGAAAAGGTGAACATGGTAGCTGATGCCTTAAGTAAGAATACTCCTGCTGCATTAATGTCGTTACAAGAAATGTCTAAGCCTCTTCTGAGGGAGATTCGGGAATTTGTGTTAGAAATTATCGTGGGGCAGTTGTCCGCAATGACCTTGACTCTGACTATTTTTTATGATATTCGGAGCATGCAATACCTTGATCCAAGTCTAGTAAGGATCAAGAATGAAGTACTTGAAGGGAAGAGTGATGTTTTAACATAACAGATGATGGAGTGATGAAGTTTAAGGGACGGTTATACATTCCTAAGAATGATGAACTGAGGAGAAAGATTCTTGAGGAGGCACATAAGACTCCATATACGCTTCATCCTGGTTCAACCAAGATGTATATGGATCTTAAAGGAAGTTTTTGGTGGTTTGGAATGAAGAGGGACGTAGCATACTATGTGAAGCAATGTTTGACATGCCAGCAAGTCAATGGTGAGCATCAGAGGCCAGGAGGGTTGCTTCAGTCGATTCAAATTCCAGAATGGAAATGGGAAGACATTGCAATGGACTTCATTATTGGATTGCCGAGGACTTCAAACGGATTTGATGCTATTTGGGCTGTTATTGACAGATTGACCAAGTCAGCTCATTTTCTCCCTATACGGACGACATTTTCTACGGAGCAATTGGCAGAGCTATATGTGAAAGAAATCATGAAGCTTCACGGTCTTCCTAAGTCTATTATTTCGGACCAAGATAGTAGGTTCACCTCACATTTTTGGAGGAGCGTTCAGGCAGCTATGGGGACGAAGCTCAAATTTAGCACGACTTTTCACCCACAGACAGACAGTCAGACGGAGAGGACCAACCAAACACTTGAAGATATGCTTCGAGCTTGTGCTTTAGATTTTGAAGGGAGTTGGTGTAAGTTTCTACCATTGGCTGAATTCCCTTATAACAATAGTTATCAAGCGACGGTTTGGGATGGCTCCTTATGAGGCACTATACGGGAGACGTTGTAGATCCCCAATCTGTTGGCATGAGGCTGGGGAGAAGAAGTCGATGGAGTCGGAACTTAAGAAGAATACCAATTTCAAGGAGAAAATTGACTTTGTGAATAAGACATCGGAGATGGTGAAGGTGATTCGGCAACAGATTGTCACAGCTCAAAGTAGACAAAAGAGTTATGCATATGTTCGTCAAAGGCCCTTAGAGTTTGAAGTTGGGGATTTGGTGTTCATCAAGGTCGCACCAATGAAGGGCGTGATGCGGTTTGGCAAAAGAGGCAAGCTTAGTCCAAGGTATGTCAGACCCTACAAGGTGATTGAGTGCATCGGCAATGTAGCTAACAAGCTAGAGTTGCCTCAGGAGATGGCATCTATCCACAACGTGTTCCACGTGTCAATCTTGACGAAATATGTACTGGATCCTTCACATGTCATCAAGCCACAAGCAGTTCAGATTCAAGAGGATATGAGCTATGAAGAGAAACCAATTGAGATTTTAGATCGGAAGATGAAGATCTTGAGAAATAAAGAGATCTCTCTAGTCAAAGTTCTTTAGCACAATCACAAGATAGAGGAAGCTACATAGGAACGAGAAGATACCATGAGGGCAAATTTCCCTGAAATATTCTATGTTTCGAGGACGAAACTTTTTAAAGGTGGGAGGGATTGTAACACCCATTTTTCTAACTGACAGAATTTCTAGAAATAGACGTTAAGAATTAAGTTGAATAATATTATAGTATTATAATTAGTTAATTCTAACATTTCGTTGAGTTATATTTTACAGGTGAACGCGATAAGGACTCGAGGTGCTAAGAACAAGTTCATGTCATTTTATAGAAATTATATATATATATATATATGTTCATTCTTTTAATGATTTGATAAATGAATATATATTCACGATTTGATGTACTTCATGTTATATTGCATGGAATTAAGTGTCTTTAGTTAATTCTATGTTTTCTTTGATTTTTTTTCCTTCTAGACAAAAGAACCATTTCCATGGAATTAATTTCCAGCTCTATTTTGAACCTTTAAAATTCTGAAATTATTCCTCTAATTTATTGAAAAAATGTAGAGCCTTTCATAAGCTTTCCAACGCCTACTCATTTGCGCAAATCGGACATCGGAGTAAGAAGATGTGGCCAGTATACCATCCGAATATCGAGCAGTCTCCGCCCAGGTTACTGCACGCAAAAGAGAACGGAAATTCTAGAAGTTGACCTAGCTCTTGTATTTATCTTCCACACGATTTTATACCCTAATGACAGCCATTCTCCCCGTTGTTAAGGGTCATTTAATCAAAGAGTTAATCCCCAAATATGTATTTTCACTCCTACACACTCACTCTCTCTCTCTCCCTCTTTCTTCATCTTTCCTTTACGTTCAATACACCACAAAAAGCCTCCAAGACCACCGGTTTGAGTTTTTATAAATTGTTATGAAATTTTAAAGAGATAAAGATAGGTTGTTAGTTTTTGTAAGATTTGGAAATTTTTTGTAATTATTGGGTTTTCTTGTGTCTTGATGTTATTAAATGATGGAATTGACCTTTTAGGCACTGTTTCAAAAATGATGGATGTATTTGATGAATTAATTTTTTTTAATTTTACTATATTTATGATTTATGACATGAACGGTTCTAGAGCTGAGCATCCAAGGACCTCATTCATCGCGTCACCATTGAGAAATTTTAAAAGGTTAAGTAAGGCGCTCATGTAAGTATACTCTCACCTGCAACATGAATTGAATAATTGAGAAGTATATGATTTTGATGTTTATGATGATGTTATGGCGCTTTTAATAATCCTCTTATGATGACGTTTTGAAGAAAAATGTAGATATGTATTTTTATGTTTTTAAATGGCGTTATACACCCTTGATGGTGGCTGATGAGCGGTCTTATTGTCACGGTTGATATGTGATTTGTTACCCCATGCTTTTTGTGGCTAGCGCGTTATGATGGTACAACGTCGGGTCCAATATATGATGGATTTTAAAATTTAAACATGTTCAAAAATAATTATTCTCGTGATGATGTTTATTGTTGATGAATAAAAATGTTCATGTAAATTTGTGAGAATTAAGTGTCTTACTAAGCCCTTGCTTATATAAGTTATTTCATGTTGCAGACAATCTAAAGGGAGAAACAATCATGGAATGAAAGTGCTTAACACAATTTTTAAAATTTTATTTTTTTTGTTTTAGAACTTTGGTTTATGGTGGTTTTAATTTAAAGAATACTTTAGATTTTCTATTAATTTTATTTTACGGTATGGATTTTAATAAATGAGTTGAACCTATAGATTTTTTTTTTTTTTTGAGGAAGTTTAAAATTTTTAAAGTTATAATTTAAAAAAAAAATTAAGATTTCTTCAAGTCATTCAAAGTAAAGTGTTTCAAACTTAACTATTTTTCGCTTTATTTTTAGAGGTAAATATTTGAAAGTTAAGGTAACTGTGACGGCCCGTGAGGGTCGTTACAAGACATATCGTCAAAATTCCAACTTTAATGGTTTAATTTATAACCACCTCTTAGAATCTATTAGCTAGGGGATTTTTATTGTTATTTACATATCGTTTATTCACCAATTCGAGTTTTCAATTTTAGTTTTGCTACATTTAAAAACTCTCACAAAAAGTCATATTTAACTTTTTTTGCTACAGTCAAAAGCTCATACATAAAGTCACATCTCAACTTAAATTAAAAACTCGAATCGTTGAACTAAAGGACGCCTAAAATTTTTTCTAATTTGGAATATCATTAGGTACGATTTTGTTGTGAATATGTTTTTCTGAGTAGTGTGGCTTAAGAGTGCCGGCATTGACTTTGCCGCAAACCCAGAGATAATGGTGCCTGGTTATATATATATATAT